TTTTTTTTTTTTTTTTGAATCAATTCACACAGCATTAGTAATTTTTATGGACAGGAGGAGAGAGAAGAAAGGGTAATTCTGTGATGTTCTTGGAGGCTCATACAAATATAAAACAATAATTAATGTGTTTAAAAACTAAATTTTCTGATTGGTTGAATGATAAATTCTATGACTGTGATGTTCTTCGAGGCTCATACAAATATAAAACAATAATTAATGTGTTTAAAAACTAAATTTTCCGATTGGTTGAATGATAAATTCTATGATTGACTTTGACTGCAAGCGCCTATTCATGAATTCAATGATATTATCCGGAATTAGGGATAGATACATATATAGAGAGACAGAAAATTCAATGATATCATCTGAAACCATAACAAATAAGACAACCCCAATTAATTTTAGAGAGGGAGAGGGAAAAAGAGTTGGACTAAAATACCAGAAAAACATCAATTACTTATTTATGGAGTGTAAAAATATAATTTTTTGAGACAAAATTATTCCTTTTAAGCCTTTCTTCTCTCTCCTCTCTTAATTGCTCCGAATGATATATATCTATATATATATATATATATATATATATATATATACTCATACGGAGCAATTAAGAGAGGAGAGAGAAGCTATATATATATATATATATATATATATATATATATACTCTCTTCGTCCCAAAATAAGTGTCATACTTTCCTTTCTCACATGTCTAAGATAAGTGTTCATTTTTCTTTTTTTAAATAATATATTTCACATATTTTCATACATGTCCTTTGAGTTTTAAATTTTAAATTTTAATATTCAAAATTTAATAACTTTTTAAAGAAATAATATATGTCCCACATGTTTCTTTAAAAATTATTACTCTCCAAATATGACACTTAAATTGAGACAAGGGAATATATATTTATAGTAAAAATGTAAACAAGCTATATATAAACAACAACCTTGTGTGAATATTTACAAAAAAAATAACAACAACAATAATAATAATAATAATAACTTGTGTGAATCATGTAATCCATACGAAAAGAAATATATAATAATAATAATAATAAAACTTGTGTAAATGGATTCCGGAAGGGGAAGAAAAATGAAAGGAATGAATTCCTTTGTCATACAAAGAAATATATCTATATATATATACACACAACTAACCTTGTTCTGTTTTTTTTTCTTTAATCACATAATCCATCTTCTGTGAATGGATTCCTTCCCCCCTTTTTTTTTTTTTTTCTTTTTTCTCTTTTATTTATTTATTTTTTTTTGAATCAATTCACACGGCATTAGTAATTTTTATGGACAGGAGGAGAGAGAAGAAAGGGTAATTCTGTGATGTTCTTGGAGGCTCATACAAATATAAAACAATAATTAATGTGTTTAAAAACTAAATTTTCTGATTGGTTGAATGATAAATTCTATGATTGACTTTGACTGCAAGCGCCTATTCATGAATTCAATGATATTATCCGGAATTAGGGATAGATACATATATAGAGAGACAGAAAATTCAATGATATCATCTGGAACCATAACAAATAAGACAACCCCAATTAATTTTAGAGAGGGAGAGGGAAAAAGAGTTGGACTAAAATACCAGAAAAATAACACTTATCTCTCCTAAAATTAGGTATAATTACAGATAGCATTTCTAATATTTTAAATATTACATGGACCTCCCTCCAATTTGATTTTAAGTTCAGATTGAAATTCATGTGAAAATACTACCATGCTCTTTATTATAATATTAATATGACATTTTTTTTTTAAAAGACACTCTTACCCTTGGATCTTTAATTTTCACGTGCAGAGGGATGCAACCACATCCCCACCTCCCTGCGAAATCCACAACCACTGGCGGAGGAGAGGTGGTCCTCATCAGCAACTTTACCTCCACAACCTTAACTTTTCACTCTCTACACGGGATTAAGTTCCGGGTACGGTTACAGTTGATCAATTATAACCCACCAAACATAAACTAACCCCGTAACCCAACAAACCTACAGACTTTATCATCGTCAGTTCGTCACAAAGCAAATTTAAACCCGTAACTCAACAATCCTACAGCCTTCATCATCGTCGTTGAAATCGATTCGCGTCCAGCGACGACGTGTCACCGTCGCTTTTCATCGTGCCATCATCGAAAGTAATCATCGCGGAACCGCCGTCGTCTCTTCCCCGGGAGTCACGCCGTTGATTCCTTGCTTCTTTGTCGCTGTCGCGTCTCCTCGATCCAAGCTTTACATCTCGCCGCCGCTTTAGCCGACTTTATCGGCGTAGCCATATTCCAACACCTCTCCGTCGCCATTGGTAAGCAGCGTCGGATCGAGCTCCGCCGCCGCCGTTGTAGTTGCGGTGATTCAGATTGAAAAGGGAATGCTGGTAGTGTTTATGAAGGAGGGAAATCTCAAATCCTCAGCAATGATTTTTATGCGATGGCAAGCTTGTCGGCGATGGAATTGGGTCTCTGTTTCTAGTGTTTGTGGTTGATGGGTTTGATGAAGAGGTTACGGGTGTCTGAATCTACGGCTAGATTGAGGTGGGTGATGAAGGAGGGCATATAAAATTGGGATATATAAGTAATTTTAAATTAAAAATAAGGATGTAAATGTCTTTGCAATATTTCTTAGGGCAAATGTGGCATTTCACGTTAAAAATTGACTGATGTCATAAAAAATTTCCATTGACCAGTGTTGACTTTTATTGGAAGGAGGAAAGTGTTATACGGGACCTAACCTTATGGGAGTTTAGTGTAATATTTGAAACATTGAGGGTATTATCTGTAATTATGTCTAACCTTGAGGATGGTAAGTGATAGTTTTTCTTAATATGTCGGTCAAAACATAACATTGAAAACTAAGAAATTTATATATAGTTTCGGACAACTATGTATTGACACATAAACAAATATTTTAGCAAATGATAGGCGGGAATTATTATCATATATATTGAATGAATCTAGTCCATTAAACTTGATCAATAATTCAATAAAAGTTAATACAAAATTTCTTTATAATAATATATTAATAATACAAGCCCATTTTCTGAATTTAAAATTTTGAATTTAGTCCACCAAATATAAATAGGCTATGACTTTTTAAATAATTTTACATCATTTCAACACTGCACCCATTTAAAACACCCAACAACTCCATAAATTTCCAATCTGCTCCTTTAACATGCTACACATCGCATCATTAAAGTCCAAGTCATTTCACCATTTAATGAATCATAATTTATTTTTATTTTTTTATGATTCTATATATATAAAACAAAAATGGCAAAAAAAAAAAGAGACTGCTTTCTTATAATCAAAAAAATTGCCAAAATGGAGCCTAAAGGATGAAATTTGAAAAAATAAATAAAAAATAAGGATTTAGTCATCATGGTACAAAAAAATAATGGTTCAAATCTTGATAAATGTTTTTTTTTTTTTTTTTTTTTTTTAAAAAAATTGTAATAAAATGATCAACAAAAAATTTCTAGTGTAATTCACCCTTAGAAATTCTCATTGTACTTCAAGCAAGATCTTAATTTTAATTTTTATTCCTTATTTTGACAAATAACTACACACCCAATGTTATTTTTAATAAGATTTGAACTCTCAATATTTTACTTTAAAATGTATAAAAAATATTATTAAACTAAAATTTTTGATTGTATTCAATAATTCTTCGTATCGATTGATACACAATCGAGTTGCTATACGTATTTATAAATTAAATTATTCAATTAATTTATATTGATATTTATGGGAGGCAAACCATAACTGCAACAAGGTCTTCATTTCAATCTTCCAAAAAGGTTCTCTTACTAAAATATTGGACCATTGATATAGTAAAACCGGCTCTGCCGCGCGCCATCTTTGAATGTTTGTGTGACCTCAGAATAGTCTTTGAAGAATTTTGATAAAGTGGTACAAACTACCAAATTTGACTTTCAATCAACAAGGGGTTTACTGTATCATCATATATAATAAAATAAAGTCATATTCATTACGTACTCGATGTATATTAAAATCATATTCAATTTATCATATTCCAGCTGTGTCAGTAAAAATATCTTGCTGCATGTGTATAAAATTGTTGTTCAACAGAGAAAAAGTCGCGCACAATGAAAATTTTAGTGCACAAGCTTGACATTTCCGTGGCCTTTGTTGAACAAATAGAAAACCGTCATCACCCGTTTGGACTATATAAGTATAATCTGGACTCTCAGAACTTATTGGGAAAAAAATTATTTATATATATATAAAATATATTCAAGGACTCTTGGATTCAAAGCACTTGTTAGGATACTTCACCACCTACTTCGTTTGAGAAACCAATACATATTTGACAAATATACACATCAAACGGACTCAACAAAATACTTCAGTGCTTAGGACCCGTTTGGCAGCGTTTTATTTTTGATTAAAACAGAAATAATATTTTTTTAGAAAAGTATTTTGAAAAAAAATAAGAAATATATTTAAGAACGATGTTTTACTGTAAAAATGTCCTAAAAAGAAATCTGTATAATTATAATTTTGGGCGATGAATAATTGTACAGATAAAAAAAAATATCTTTTTAATATTTTAATTTTAAATCACTATTTACGAAATATTTTAACACTATAAAAAATAAAATGAAATCACACTAAATATATTTTTATTATCAAAATTAATGTTGTATCAGTTCAAAAAAAAAAAAAAAACATAAAAAAAAAAAAAGAAGGTATGCACAAACTCACAAGACGTGTTATCTTTCGAAAAAAAAAAGTCACAAGATGGACTGTCTTCTACATACACTGCTCAATTCTTGTACGTCTCTTTCGGTCCAATGGGTGACGGCATAATGACTCTTATTTTATACAAATTCTAACAATGACAATGCTATGGTATGGAGGCTGAAAGTTGAGACCGAGAAAGTTCAGCGAGAAATATTATCCATTCGTCGTTAGACTAACTCCAGCCTTACAAGTGTCTCTCTCTCTCTATATATATATAGGCCTCTGGAAATAGAAAATACACTATCTCAAACACAATTAATTGAAGTGAACTTTCTTTGCTGTGTTCAACAGCAACATGTTCTCCTTATTGAACCCCTTAGTTTACTCTCCTCTTCTCTTGTTGTTCTCCTTGCTCTTCCTTTCCAAATGGCTGTTCGCTTCAAAATCGAAAGGAAGTATACCACCATCTCCGCCAAAGCTCCCGTTCATCGGAAACCTCCACCAACTCGGCTTCTTGCCCCACCGCAACCTCCGGAAACTAGCTCATAAATATGGCCCACTCATGCTGCTTCACTTCGGCAGCAGGCCAGCTCTCATCGTCTCCTCCATCGAAGGAGCTCGCGATATCATGAAAACCAACGATCTCAAATTCTCAAACAGGCCTACGAAGAGCTTCGGACACAAGCTCTTCTACGACACCAAGGACGTGGCGTTCGCCACCTACGGCGAGCATTGGAGGCAGCTGAAAAGCATTGTTGTGATGCAGCTCCTAACCAACAAGAGGGTCCAGTCGTTTCACAATGTCAGGGAGGAAGAAGCGGCCTATATGATCAGCAAAATCGAAAAGCAAAGATGTTCTTCGCCCTCGGCGCCGGTGAACTTGAGCGAAATGTTTATTGAGCTCACGAACGATGTGATTTGCCGCATAGCATACGGACGGAAGTACACCGGGAGGGAAGGTGTTCGGAAGTTTAAGTATGTGTTGGGGGAGCTGGTGGAGGTTCTGGGGGCTTTCAATGTGGCGGACTATATTCCGTGGCTTGGTTGGATAAATCGTTTGAATGGTTTGGATGCTAAAGTTGAGAAAGTTGGGAGAGAGCTTGATGCGATCATGGAGGGTGTGGTTGAAGAGCATATTGAGCGATATAAAAGAGAGGAGAGTGGTGGAGTCAAAGAAGAGCGCGATATCGGGCAGCAGGACTTGGTTGATGTCTTGCTTGAAATTCAAAAAGACAACGCAGATAAATACACTCTTCACAGAGACAGCATTAAAGGTGTCGTCTTGGTAAGTCTGATTCCATCTCTCTCTGTGTCCCTAAAATTAAATGAATCAGTTCTTGAAAGTTAGTGAAATTTAGGTTCATTATATGGAACGAAAGACAAAGGCCAAGAGATATATACATATACATATATATATATATATATATATATATATTTGCCTTTGTATTTGCGTGTATTCATTTTAAGGGTTATAGAGATCTAAATAACTAGAGCCATGAATGACAGAGTGAGAGACAGGTTAAGAGATGGAGTAGCATACTAGATGAGAGAGGCTCTCCGCTGGAGGAGAGAGAACACAGTAGTCAATGAACGTGCTGAAGAGAGAGGAGATAAAAGATTGCAATCTTATCTTCTTGCTTGGTCATAATAATTGTACTATTATATAGCAAGAAGATAAGATTGCAATCTTTGTTATATATATATATATATATATATATATATATATATTTGTTTGTATTTTTATATAACTTGGGCATGTGTTTTGTGGGATATTTGCTAGATTTAATTTAAATGGGTTTGCTTATGAATATAAAATAGAAATTGAGTAAAAATTATAAATCTATATATAATAAAATATATGTTATTATTTTATATCCTTTGTTCTATTTTTTATTTTATAAATTTTTTCATATGTTATAGTATTTGTAGAAAAGGTATCCGGTGTATTAGAGTCGTCTGGGTTGTGCGGACAATTCTGACGGCCATGTATGGACACATTGCATATATTCTCCTACCTGTATCCTCCTTCCTCTAGTAACACATGACTGATTTGTATTAACAAAAAAAAAAAAAAAACTGTTTAGCTGATTATGAATTAGGAAAATACTTTTTCTGGTGTCACAATTAATTGACTATTGAAATTTGAGGAAAAAAATAACTAGAGAATGATAAAAATCTGAAATATAATGTACAGTATAATTTTGTGATCATTTGAAAAGATAAAATGGACGTAAGTTTCTAATGGCATAAATTTGATGGTAGCTTAGAGACGTTTTATTCATAATTCAATTTTGTTTCTCTTTTTTTAGGACAAGAATACTCATAGCTCTGTATATGTTTGCTATTGTAGGATATGTTTCTTGCTGGAACTGATACAACATTCACAGCACTAGAGTGGACAATGACAGAGCTCATAAGACACCCGAAAGCCCTGAAGAAACTCCAGGATGAGGTGCGAGCAGTAGGCGGAGGTAAACCGTTGTTAACCGAGGATGATGTACAGAAAATGCCCTACTTGAAAGCAGTGATGAAGGAGGCCATACGGTTACATCCTCCGGCTCCATTGCTTATCCGACAATCGACAAAAGATGCCAACGTTCTGGGCTATGACATTGCAGCCGGGACACAGGCGTTTATCAACAATTGGGCAATTGCAAGAGACCCAACCTTGTGGGAAAATCCCGACGAGTTTGAGCCAGAGAGATTCTTTAAAACTTCAATAAATTTTTATGGGCACGACTTCGAGTTGCTCCCATTTGGATCCGGTAGGAGGAGTTGTCCTGGAATCCTATTCGCCACGACGGTTAATGAGCTTGGATTAGCGAGTGTTGTGTATAGGTATGATTTTACATTGCCTGGTGGAATAAGAGGCGAGGATATAGACATGTCTGAAGTCCCTGGTCTGTCCAATCCCAGAAAATATCCTCTACTCGTTTTCCCAAAGCCATATTATACTTTCTAGTGTACCTAGTACATGTGGTACTAGATAAATAAGTGTATGCTTTTGTTAAGCTCATGTAGCTTCATGTATTCTCCCTATGGTTATCCTAAATAAAAGCTCTTTTATTTGAAAGCAGCATTTTAGCAACACTATATTGTCACATTTTCTTAAAATTAGTTACATTAAAGTTTACAATCCCGAGAGAGATATTGTAGATGTGGTACTCCTAGCTAATCGACAAATATAGAAACTCTCAATTTGTCTTGGTAAGCGAAAATTAAATTTGAAATCTTGTACGCCTGTCTATTGACTATGAATACTACATTTAAGTACTCGGAAATATTGTAAATTTTCTCCAAAATGAGAACAGGAAAAAATTCAACTTAGAGCAGCCTCCATCTCTCATCTTTAGATACTAGCTACTATGAAAAGCAGGGAAGAAAAGTGGGAAAAAATCAATAACCAAATAAATGAATCTGCATTTTATGGCTGATCAAATATTAGGTTTAAATGAAAATAAAGAGAAAATTGTGGATCTGACTTCAAATCTGTCTACATGAGTATATTGGGAAAATCTAATTATAAGATTTAAAGATGACTATTACCAAATGATGTGATTCAAGATGTGATATAGAAGGAAGAAAATTTTCTATGTCCACATTTGATGATCCTTAGCTCTTTCCCTCCCCTGTTGTCCCTTTATCCTTCGGTGCTCTGTTTTGCTCTGTAGTTGTAGCTGTGTTTATAGGTGGTTGGGATTTTGGTTGTTTGTTTGGCCAAGTGGGATTTTGTTTTCCTTTGGGCTTTTGGGTTTTCAGCCTGCTGTTTGGGCTGTTGTCTTTCCTTGTATGGCCTTTTGTTTCTTCATTAATGAATTGATTTATCCAAAAGAAAAAAATAAAATTTTTGTACGGAAGCCTTGGCATTTCCCCGAGCCTTTGTTAGACTATACTATTGCCAAAAGGGTAATCAAAAGTTCAAAACACATATGGGACTCGGCTTTCTCCGACTCATTGCTTCGACTCTTACTCATTATTCTCTAATTCCTATATAAACCCTACAAATTACCAACAAGAGACTATATCGTTGGCCCTTGGCACATGAGGGTCGCAAATGACCTTTGAGAGACTCATTTCCTACTCTTCATAGCGCCTCGAGGTAAGATTAAAGACACACCACACACACACTCACGCAGAAAGACTACAGCCACAACAACCATTCCCTCTCAGGAGGATGGGGCCGCAGCGTTAGGAATATTTACTTGGCCAAAAAGCAAGATGCGACCACCGACTCACACCAGGGCGGTGAGGTCGGTCCCCGAGGCTGCAAGGGTTGGATCAACCCTGCAGGGTGTGGAGACTCGCCCAGCAACCCCCAACACCTTTGGGTCCAAACACCTTGTCCACCAAGGATTTAGGTTTTGGGACTATATAAATTGCCACCAAAGTTATTATTGAGTGGTATGAGTGGAGAGACATATAGCTTGCAAGATGGGTAGAGAGTGAGAATTAGGTTTGATAAATTATTCTCTACAAATTATAACGTTTTCTCATCATGATAGTAGAATCTCCTTATTAGTAGAATCTCATGATGGAATCTTCAATATGGTTTAATGTTCTTACTGTTGGCGTCAATTACGATCTAGCTAAAGGGGACTGATCGAACTTTTTCGAATCAAATCCAACTTTTGGAAGTTCCAATTATTCGCAATTTTGTTATCGTTTCCTTTCGTTGGAGCATATTTTATTATAATTCTTTATTTAAGTTTTTTAAATCTTGTGAAGGATTCTTGGAAATATGCTTCAAGATATCCAAGTTTTATAAGAAAAAGTGGGTATGTAATTGTATTTGTTGCCAATATATATATATATGGAATTGGAGTTATGCAAAATGGCCCATATAATTTAGCAAAGGAATACATAAGAAGGTAATTTGTATATACTCCCCTGGGGACAAGATCACTTTTTAAGGACGGTGGGTTAAATTGCAAGGCTAATAAGTGGGTTTTTACTTCTTGTTGCATTATTTATAAGCAAATAAAAATTTGTAATTTATTATTTTTATATTTAACCACTAAATCACTTATTTTTCAACAAAGTAATAAAGGCTTACTATCATTATGTAGTAAGTACAGTAGTAAGAGAGCATGGAGTTGCAACAGCAAGTAGAGGATACTTTTTGTGGATGCCTAAACCAGGGGCCTCAGTCATATCCAATTCCTTCTCTGTTTCACCACCAGGCAATGCAATATAAAACTTGTGCACAAGATTTGCTAATGCAAGCTCATTGATAGTTGTGGCAAATTGGATGCCCGGACAACTCCTCCGGCCAGCTCCAAATGGAATAAACTTGAAGTCGAGCCGTTTGGAATCTATTGAAGTATTCAAGAACCTTTCTGGCCGGAATTCTTCAGCTTCTTCCCACAATAATGGATCTTTCATAATTACCCAAGCATTGATAATCACTTGCGTGCCGGCTGCAATGTCGTAGCCCATTAGTTTGACATCTTGGGTTGATTCCCTAGGAACTAGTAATGGGCTGGGAGGATGTAACCGCAAAGACTCCTCGATCACTGCTTTCAAGTATTGCATTTTCTCTAAATCATCCTCGGTTATTTCTAACTTACCTCGTTTTGAAGTTCTTTCATGACTTTTGGATGTCTCAAGAGTTCCGTCATCGCCCACTCTAGAGCTGTGTATGTAGCATCAGTTCCAGCAACAAACATTTCCTACACAGAAAGTTAAGCAATGTATAAATATGTAAAAGAATTTACAACATGCCCAAAACAGACCGTGGAGTCTTTCTGGCACAGACAGCCCCAACAAATGAAGAATACAAAGAGGGTGGGTGAATGCAGGAAGTGTTTTACCGTAAACAAAATTTTAATAATTATTACTCTTCTCATTTTGTAATTAACGACTCCGGGTGTTTTTGTTATTAGACCACATTAACTGCTAGAAGGGAATACTGGTACTTCTAAATTGGTGAGGAGGTAAATATTGTACATTTATTATAACAAGAAGTTAGATAATTGATTGAACCTATATTGGTCCATTCTTCATCAGATTGATTAAATTTTGAAGAAGAGAGGCAGTCAACTTACCATGATGAGAGCTTTGATGCTGTCTCTATGAAGAAGAGAGTCATCCATGACCATGCTCTCTCTTTGAATATCAAGCAAGATATCCACGAAGTCCTGCTGTTGATTATCTTGATCAACACTCCCATCGCCATTGCTCTCTTTTTCCTTTCTATCTATATGATCACACCCTCCAAAAATTCATCGAGCTCTTTAGCAATTTTCTCGACTCTACCATTCAAACCGTTGATTTGATTCAACCACACAAGCCAAGGAATATAGTCCCCCACATTGAATTCACCCACTAGTGCCGAAGTATCCCCCAAAAGATCCTTAAACTTTCTACCACTTTTTAAGCTTTCACCGTACTTCCTCCCTAAGGCTACCCGACATACTACATCATTCGTAAGTGAAACAAACATTTCACTCAGATTCACCGGTGAAGAAGAAGAAGAAGCTGATTTGATCTTCTCGATCAAAAGGGCTGTTTCTTCTTGTCTCACTCTACGGTAAGACTGAACTCGGCTATTACTCAAAAGATTGAGCACACAAATGCTTTTTACTTGCCTCCAGTACTCTCCATAAGGAACAAACGCAACGTCCTTATCATAGAAAACTCTACTGGTAATGCTCAATTTAGGTCTGTTTGAGAAGATGAGATCATGGGTTTTCATGATCTCGCGAGCTGCATCAGCAGAGGAGACTATTACAACTGGCTAGCTGCCGAGGTGAAGCAGCATGATGGGGCCATATTTTTGCGCTAGTAATTGGAGGGAGCCAAGGGCGGATCCAGCATTTCTGAATGGGGTGGGTTAACTTTGGATTGGGCTAATTTGGGGTGGGCTACCATTACTATTTTTTTTTTTTTTTTTGTTTTTGGGCTGGGCTTAAAGTAGTATGGTAATAGGGTGGGCTGAAGCCCACCTTCGCCCACACCTGGATCCGCCTTTGGAGGGAGCAATGAGGGAGCATGCCAAGTCAGTGGAGGTTTCCGATAATTGGGAACTTTGGTGGAGAAGGAGGTAGATTTCTTTGGGGTTGTGAAGTGGACAACCATTTGAAAAGGAAGAATATGGAGAAGAACAATGGAGTGAGATAGTAAAAGAGAAGATGCAGTATGGGAAGCATAACTTCATGTTCTGGAGAGCTAATTTCAATGAGAACCATCCAAATTTTAAAAGCCAGCTACAGAGCACAAACTTTGAGGACTTGTTATGTGAGAGTCACTACCAAAGAAAAACTGGGGTCCAACGGAAAATCATCTCATATTACAGTAAAATACGGAAAGGATTTACATCCACATGCCCCGGATATAATCTAGATGTCACGGTCCGAAAATTTTAATAAATTTTTTAATTTATATAAATTTAAATACATCAAAATACATTTAAGATCACAAAAATAAATGTACTCTTTTATACAAAGTTAATTTTCTCAAATATATACAAAAATCCAAATAAATAAAATAAATCCTGCAACGCCGACTTTTCCACCTAAGCTCGAAACTAGCAATTTTTGTTCATCTTTGGTGCCTAAAACTAGAGGGTGGTGAGACGAGAAATTCCAGTAAGAAAAATCATAAGAAGAATTTCATGGAGGTTTAATAAAACAACTTCACAAAGTAAACATATTCAGATTAATATATAAACAAAATACATATGCATTTAATTAAAAAATTTAATAAACCATTTGAAGCAAAACCACTCCAAGCCATTCAAGGTATAGAGAACTCTACACTGAAAAAAGAATTTTTCTCATTGGATCATCAAAGCCTCAAACCTCTAGCCTTCTCTGCAAACTCTCGGCTCTTCTTTGCAACTCTCGTCTCTCTCTGTCCTCAAAACTCTCTTTGCCTTCTATGTCTCTCTTTAATTTTTTTCTCTTCTGTTTGCTCACTAAAATTCAAGTCAAGATACCATATTATATAGACACTTACACTGACACAAAATATCACATTTAGCCAACAAAAATAAAAAATGGACCCCAGCACCCACTATATGCCTTATCTCTTCGGCCAACCGCCCATTTCCTTTCTATCACGGCACCTTGACTATAT